GTAAATTTTTTTTAAAACCTTACCTCTTTTAATTGTTCGATTTTACTTTGCATCTGGTAAGGATCAGGAATTTTTCCCTGATTTATTTGCAAGTAACAGTAAGCTGAAACGAAGCAGCGGAATAAATGAGATGGTGGCCTTTACGATCCAGACGAATTTCTCGTCTCTCATTGGCCTGTTTAACCTCGTAGAAAAGAAAACGTTCGAGACTGAACGAGGGGCGGAGACGGTTCCGGCGCGGTAAATAGCGCGCGTTTAAAGTTCGACGGGGGCCACTGGCAAAGATTTAGCGAGCTCTCGAACCGGGAGCTGCCACTGCTGAAGTTATATCGGTGGAAATAATTTCGCCGCGAATACTTTAATTACCGCACACGTCCCGCCCTCCTCCTCTAACTCAAGCCGTCGAAACGACATAATTAGCCGGCGTTAAAGCGTTTTAAATGCGATCTTCCCTCTGGAACCGGTGACTCTTTTTCGTTCAGCCACTGGCCTTTCTTATTTCGAGGCGATTCGTGAACGATATTTCTTTCGTCGCTTTGAAGAATCGTGGAAATATTTAAATTGCGAACTATTGTCGCGCTTTTTTTTTCTTTTCTTTCGTGAGAAAAGTGAATATGTTTTCGAAGCGAAATTTTTCATTTTTGTTATCGAATAGATTGCACCTGCTTGGATTTGCTGAGATTGTAGATTTTATTGAAAAATTTTGAATAAAATTGGTCGATTTTTAATACAGAAATCACTCGGTTACTTGAACTTCCAGATGAGACTTTCCTCTAGAAACATAAATTGTAAACAAAGAAACTAAACATTTCATTCTAATTGCCGCTCGTAACATCTCATTAATTTTATCATTTCCATAGATTTCAATATAAGAACTACCTCCAAAGATATTCCACGAGGACCGCACTTTAGAAAAGCAAAAGTTTCCCAACGCAGTTTTCCTCTTTTCTGCCAAACTTTTCCGCTAACAAAATTTCTCCCCCTTTTTTTCAAACATACACAGTGCTCACAAACCTTCCCACCAAAAAAACAATTCAATCGTTCCTAAACTACCAGCTCTCAAAAATCACCTCACCGTTTACCGAACAAAATTTCATTCGCTCCCCTCAAAGGGATTCTCCCAACCGCATGAAAAAAAAAAAGGAACTGCTGTAATTCGAGGGCGACCTGTAAACGCTTCGACTCGCGAATTAAATTAAATTAAACTGGACAAGCACACACCTTTCATTTAGGCTCTACGTCGTTCTTTTCTACCCAACGGGAAAACATTTTCCCTGGAAACGATCCACGGAAATTCATAGAGAACGGATTGAAAGAGCGGGAAGGGACGGAGCCATGTTGAACACGCTACACGGACGGTATATTATGTATTTAATATCCATCACTGATCCGAGCTATCAATTACGCGGATAAACAGACGGCTCGTTAGGTCCGTGTAAACTGCCAGATTTATTGCGACCCCGTGGGAGTAATTCTCGTGAAACGATGATTCATATTCGGAAAAATACGCGCAGCTGCGGAACTGAGAAGGAAATTTTTTTAATCAAATCTGCAATTTGCCTCGATGAATTATGGAGAATTTTTCTGGACCGATGTCGAGTGCATGTATAATCGATGGAAGTGATACAGTTAGGTCGTAAAATCAGTGTCTATTCCAGAGCGATAGTTGAGCTGGAGGGATAGAGGTGCAAAAGAAGTGTCTTTGGGGTAGAGTATAGTTCGTGACAACGATATAGCGAGATCGTAAAATCAGTCAGGCGTCAAAGTACACGTGAGCATCAAAATAGCAATTCGAGGGAGATAAGGGTCATTCGATGTCAACTTGGAATAGCTTCCTCTGTTGCGGTATGTTTAAGAAATTTGTCTGTGCCTTAATCGTTGACAACTGCAGGTTAATTTTTACCAATACGTGAATCACTATTGTCGTGACTGATCCGCCGGCGATCGGGCCCGACACGCGTGAGTGCGTGTGTGTGGGTACCGGCGCGGCATAAGCGAAGCGTAGAAGGGGCACGCGGGCCCCGGGCCCGTGACAAGAAGGTAGCGCGCCGAGCTGGCTATGCGACAGAGAATTTTTTCCTAACGAATTGATCCCACACTATTGAGCAGGAAGTGACGGAAGCTCTATACCGTATATATTAAGGTGTTATTTCAACGTGTCCAATAATTTTTACCGATTATCTGTTCCGTGAATACGAAAGATTATAAGTAGAAATTTACGACAAATAATGATATCGCGTCGGTACAATAAAACTAAAAGCTCCTTTCATACATAGTGGAAAGAGTATTTCTCCTTTTTTCAACACACACGTAAATAGCGAATGGAATTGTTCAAAGGTATTTTACCTTCCGTGCCTTTTTCTTCGAAATGTTCATTGCAACATGCATACGTAACTTTGTCGTTGGGAAAAGCTTAAAAGCCAGCCCTTTATCTAGGACCGTGGTGGATTAAAAAGACACCGGCGCTATTGGCGTACAATTTATCGCAAGAATATTGAAAAACCTGGCTGTATTATAGAGGAGAAGTTGGGGAAGGTAAAATGGTTTTGGTGGGAATATTGCGAGAAGAGGAGTCAGAGGAAGAGAGAAGATGTGAAAACTGTTTGAGGGAAAGGTGTGCATTAATGGCGTTACATTTATATCGGAAGAATTTGAATTGCAACGTGGGGAGGTGTAATCACGGTCTTGTCATAAACTCAATCCATGGCCAGATGAGGTTTCGATGGTTTTTAGTTGGGAACCGTTCAAAGGATGCTGTCGCGGGTTAAACTGTGCCACAGAGATTGGTTATCAGCGGGATGTTTATGCAATCAGCGGTTCGAATCGAGTAATTTCTGTGCCAACGCTGCATGAGACTTTCTTTTATTTTGCTAAAACACAAGTTTTATGGAACATATCCGGGCTCAGTTTTAATTACAAACGAAGTTCATTTCCATTGGATCGGATCCGCATTTGATTAACCAACTTCAAATCACATTTATGGCTTCACCAGTTCTACGTTAAATCTTTGTCAGGAATTATTATTTAATTATTGGTAATTCTACGAATTTTTTAACTCTAATGTTGTAACTCTTTACAGAGTACCAAAGAAAATTGTAAAAAGTTAGATTGAATCTCGAAGATACAAGTTTTAATTCGAACCAGAGTTTTTTTTAAATCAATTACAAGAAGGATCTCTGAAATTCTTTATTCAACCTGTACGAATTCCGTTGAAAAATAATCTCACAGTCGTCTAAGCTGGAATTAAATTTAAATTATCAGTCTGCTAAAAAGAATACCGCAAACTCATACTACAATCGTCCACAAAATTTTTCTAAACCAATCAAAATATAAGATCTCTGAAATTCTTTACTTAACCCTATCGAACTCCAGTGAAAAATAATAATTTAAATTAACAGTTTACTAAAAAAACATTACCGCAAACTCGTGCCACAATCGTGCACAATTTTCCAGAGATCCAGGTTTCTAAAGCCACGTAAAGAAAGAGCTTGAAAATCCAGCGAAAAAAGTGTATCTCTCAATTCTCACCATAAGAAACCGAATCACATCCTGGATTCTCCTAACCCAATTCGCGCGCTATCTCCTCCCAGGCCATTTCCGCCCAGGTTTTTCCCCGCTTTCCGCATTCCACGCGCGCGTAGCACAGCGTTGGGAAAATCGCGGAAAAGTGCGCCGCTAACGATGCAGCCGAAAATTTCCGCGGATTTCGCCAGGCGTCGTTCTTCGATAAAACCGGGCGTTTGAGCGTCGCTGGCGCACAAACTTCTTCCTTCTGGCATCCAGCAGCTCCGCACCGCGTAAAAAAAAAAAAAGAGCATACCAAATGCTTTCGAGTTAAGCGGAGCGAAATTATCTGGGCGCGTTTTAAAACCAGCCCAACGTTTGAAGCGGCCACCACTTCCGCAAGGAAGTGCGTCCCTTTGTGGGAAATGCGAACAAGCTTTTTCTCCGTCATCGTTCTCTTATTTTCCATCTCTTCCCGGTTCAACCTCTGTCTTTTACCCCTTTTTGTTTACTTTTCGGGAAAATAATTATGTCAAAATACGTGGAAAGCGCGAGAGAGAATGGGAGGGCAGAGAAAGGGGTGAAAGGAGGTGGAAACGTCGTTTGCCAGGAAGATATTTTCACTGCAGAGATATCGCTGGTTGGAACGTAGTAATGGTCCCATGAGAAACGTATTTCTCTAACGATGTTTTGCTTCGAAAATAATTCCTCCTTTGTTAGGTGCGTTATTCTTTTTGTTTCTATCCCGGTGAAAGGAGCACGGTTTAAGGGAATAATTCTTGGGGATGAATAGTGGATTATATTATAGAGGGGGATGTTCGTGTCAGTTTGGTAGCTTGGAAGATGGCGGAGCTGCGAAAACTGCTTCGCTGAATAAGTGATCGCTCTCGGAGAGATTATTTACGGGAAGAAGTGTGTAAACTTTGGGTACAGAAATTGGAGAATTGTGCTTCTAACAAAAATTTCAAAAATTGCTAAATTGCTCTACCTTTTTTTTTAAGTTTAAACTTCTGAAATACAAACAAGGATAGTAAAAGAAGAAATACAAAAAAATTCCACGTATCGTCCATTTGATCGAAAACAGGAAATATTTCAAGGCATTTAAAAATTCTAAATATACAGGCTGTTTCACTTGTAACGAACATTTATTGCGCTTCGTATGATTTAAGGACGTGCATACAGTGAGAATGAAATAAAGCCTCCTTAAGGTCATCTTGAAGATCGTTCCAAGGTTGCCTGACTTTTTACAGTTTAAAGTCATTTTAAGGCCACAATTAGTTCGTTAGAAAAAACTCTCGATGACCTTGACCCTTGAGGGCCTTTTTATTTCATTCGCACTATATATCATATAGTCACTTTTTCTTACATTTCAACAGCAGCGGAAATAATTCAGATGTTCGTTACAACTGAAACACTCTGTGGAAGAAATTCAATAAAAATAAAAAAAAAGAAACGTATCGCGTGGTACGATTTAACAACTGTTCGTTTGATTTCAGAGGAGGTGTTCGGCTCCAACAAGGCTTTATGGTTTTCGCCGAGCGGCAGTAAACTGGCCTTCGGTTACTTCGACGACTCCCATACGCCGATCATAACGATACCGTTTTACGGGTACCCAGGCAGCCTGACGTTCCAGTACACGTCCGCGATCTCGATCCATTACCCGAAGGTAAGCGTCACACCGTTCACCACCATCGTGGCCTTGCCTCTTTTGCATTCCGTTTGATCTTCCGCGGTTCGCCGCGAGAAACGAACTCGACCAACGGCTTTTGTGCAGGGAGAAACTGCAACCGGATGTTCTAGACAGTTTGACGCATACGTGCACGTACTTAGACACATATGCACGTACACGCGTCTTTTTGGTCAGGCTCTTCTCGTTCCCTTTTACGAGCTATTTCCCCGTACACAGGAAGCTCTGTGAAGGTTAACGCGAAGGGAAACGTCGAGGGTGTTTTAATAGAATTGCGCTTGTTACGTTGACGCGGCTCCAAACGTGAATCAAGTATTCACGAATTTTCGCTTAGCTTGTCTGAAGAGTTGTTGGAAAATTGCACAATTTGAAGGTGACGGAATTGGTAAATTTTTAAGAATACAAGAGGAGCGAGATGTCTCGCGCGTGAAACCATTGTTAATTAGAATAGCATTCAGAGATGGGAATTGAAAGAACATTTCCAGAATTATTTGATTAAAGAGTTAGGTAGTATGCAGATTGTACATTTACGATGCCACAGCAACCTCGAACAGGGGACACAATGATTTTAAAGTTTCGCCTTATCCACGATTCATGCACCTCCGTCCAAAAAAAGCCAACTTCAACGGAAACATCTGGACGCTACGCAGGTATTCCGAAACAGCGGCAAAAAGGTAGATTGATACTCTCCAAGCGAGTTACACGTAACCACCGTACGGTTACGTCAAAAAAACTTAGAATTCGCTGCATATTCCGTCCTCTTCCGTCATTTATCTTCCGCGGGACTGTTTTACCCTGCTTTTTTTTATCGACGAATACCCTATTTCCTGTCCCAAAGAAAACTTCAAAAGCCCGGAGCAACGTGGGAAAAAAGAAGAAACAGATTAATATCATCCACTCGTGTTGCCAGTTTTCATGAGTATTTCTCTCTGGCTGAAAAAAAGGAGAAGAGACAGAAAGAAAAAGGGGGGGGGAGAGAGAGAGAGAGGGGGAGAGAGAAAATGAACCTGTTTAATTTTTGTCCTTGCAGGAGAACTGCGCGAGTTAACTGAAAGCAGCGTGTCCGTTTAATGCTTCTAGTCATTTCCTTCTTCTTTTTCTCTTTCTCCTTCCTTTTATTCGTCCCGAGTTTTTCGCTTACAAACTTTCTGGGCGGCGGCCATTTTATGGGACGCGCGACTAAATGGCGACCAGGGCCATCGAAACGAACTCCCCACCAGGCCCAAAACAAAAATTTACGTCTCTGCAACTTGTTTTATCCTTTTCTATCTACGGTTGGGGGGGTTGCTTTTCATTACAACTTCAACGATTCTCCTTTTCCAAGCCGCTTCAACTTACGCAATCTAACTTACACAATCGCGACGACGCGGTTTGGTAACCCTGTTCGCTTCGTCGTTTAAACTCACTAACCGGTGCGGTCGTCAGGCTCTCCACCCCGAAGTATCACTCGTTTGCACAGATTTTTGTCGTGTTTTTCGTTTATCCAAGTGATTTCTTTGGTTGTTTTTGAGTAGTTAGGTAGGAGTGTAGCTAAGTTGAGACAGGAGAGTGGCGAAGATTGCTGCTCCGGAAGATTGTTTTCCAGCGGAAGGTAGACGCGTATAAGGGAGGTACTTAATCTCGCGTGACGGATGAGTGTGAAGCATGTGTATCGAAAGTCTATCCGTCACTTGGTTCTGTTTACGACGTATCAGTCCCTTGGGGAATGTTTATAATCGGAGTGGAATGTGTGAGGAAAGTTGGAAAGTATTTTTTGGAGCGAGTATCACAGACACTTCTCCTATCTGTTATTTTACTAATATTTCAATGTAAATTTTGTATAAATGTTGCTTCCACGGTGTCTTCATTCTCCAGCCCGCTCTGTAACACTTTCTAACTCAGTAAACACTGCTCGAACTTAGCTCCTATTACTTGGTTCATACAAACCTCTACAGGATGTGTCAAAAGTCACCACCCAGGTTTTCTTATCACGTGATATTCTCTTTTCAAAAATTTTGCAATGAATTGCTCGTACTTTCGTACTTTTTTTTACATTTCACCTGTTGTCCACTTCGTGTTCTCTGTGCCTCTACAGGGTGTGTGAAAAATTGCCACTGAATTTTATCACATGATATTCTCTTTCCAAAAATTTTTGAGATAATTGTTTTACACTTTACTTCTGACTGATTTTATCCTTATTTCTTCGAGATACTGAAGTTTCTCGAAAAATTTAGTTTAGAGTCACAGTTTAGAGAAGCGAGTGAGCAAACACTTGTTAAGAGCGCCGATGCACATACGTATAAACCAGTGAAGAAACGCAAGAACGAAACTAGTTCACGTGTCTCTCGCTAAAAGTGACACCCCGTCTCGAATTTTTGCTTCGCTGAACACCCTATTCCAGGTAAAATTCATTGGCAATTGTTCGCCAAAACTGCACACTACCGGTATGTTTACCGGTTCACCGGTAAGAAAAGTATTCCGAGCATGAACAGAAGCTTCTTCTACTTTGTTCTTAACGAGCAGGTCGAGACGGAAAAGGCGAAGTGGTCGTCGAGGCGAGAGTTAACGCGACGAGGGCGGAATGGGAAAACCATCGAGCACCGCGCGAAGAAAATTCTACGCGACTCCGGCGTTAAGTAAATCTAGCGAGCGTTTATTCATTGGCATGCGTGAAACAAAGACCACGCGATACGCAAATCGGGAGGAAAGAGAGAGACTCAACGGTTTCCGTTTTGTCCAATAATGTGCCCTTTGCTTCCGCCACGAGGGAAATTTCCCACACGACGCGCCAAGGATCTTTCTTGGCGTGAAGTTGCTCGAAGATAATTCGAGGTTTGAGGTGAAAAGGAAGATGGTCTGTTGCCGTAGAATGTTAACCCTTTAATTATCGCGTGGTCTAAGAAGAAACGTTGAATTTTTATTAGAGTACAATTTGTATTTTTTTATTATTATTATTGTGTGAAAGTTTTTCAAGTTTACGTTAGTTTGATGAGAGGTATTTTGTGTTGAATAATTAAACGTATGTTCAAATAGTAACTCGAGCTGTGATATATCAGTTGTTAGCTTTTTGACAGGAAACAATTTTTATTCAAGTGTTCTCCATTTTTCTTTCTATTTCTTTTATTTTATTATTGCACAGAAAATTATTATGCACGTGCAACAGAATTTTTGTCAAATTTCTACTTCACTACAAAAACATTTGGAACCACTTGCAAGTTACAAATTTAAATTTCTGATATCGTTTCTACGAAAGTTTCTACGTTCCGCAGTGTTATATTAAAATTTAGAAATGGGATTGGACGAATTTCTACGCGAATTTTACTGTAAATCTAACTTTAGGAAAAATGTCACACGGGTCCAGAATGTCTTCGAAATTCTATCCCAGGGGACTCTCGTTCGAGTGGTCACTGAAAGGGATGAAAAGCAGCAGCGTTTGCAGTGGTATAGGGCGTGGAACCTGGCACCTGTGCATTTTTTAATGGCTTTTTACGAGGCACGATTGATGCTAGCAGTGGCCAGCGGCAAATATTGCCCAGCGAGAAAGCTGTTTGGACGTTGACCCAGCCGATGAATAACGTCGTTCCCCTTTAATGGGTTGCCTTGCAACGGAAGCTTTCGGATCCTTTACTGTTCAAGCGAGGAAACACGAGGGATCGTGCCTTAAAGTCTTGTTTGAGGAGACACGGGTCTTACTATGAATTTTTTGTTCAAATATATATATATCGATGTAGTAACGGAGGGTTGACTGGTTCGCTTGAGTGATAAAAGTGAAATTAAATGGATGTTCGACGAGTGATAAAAATAATGTTTAGAAAGGGAGATTTAAGGCGAGCCGGAGTCGAAGAATATTCAATGAGGTTGCAGAAGTTTCCGTGGAGACTTCGATGACTATAAGTTGTGGAGCATCGTACGACGAAGACTCTGTCGATTCTAGAATTTCGCGAGTGGATCTAATTATGTTTCGATTAATTTCTGGAAATTAGAATCTTGGGAAATCACAGTTTTCAAGAATTCAAATCTTCGAAAATTACCATTTTTTGGAATTAGAATCTTCCGAAATTTAAATTCTCAGAAATCAGAATCGTCAGCATTTACCATTGTTAGAAATCAGATTCTTCCGAAATTTACATTTCCAAAAATTACCATTTTAGAAATTAGAATTTTCCGAGACTTAAACTTTTAGGAATTAGAATCTTCCGAAATTTAAATTTTTTAAAATTACCATTTTAGAAATTAGAATTTCCCGAAATTTAAATTCTTAGGAATCAGAATCTTCCGAAATTTAAATTTCCTCACAGGCGAGAATATTCCCGACTGAGAGTTTTTACAGAAATTAATTTCCACGAACGTTACAAAACTCATAGTGAGAAGTGGTGACAAGTGAAACACGGAATACCCAAAAGAGAATAGCCGCAAAGTAAGTGGAAGAGAGAAAAGACATCCTCTTAAAAAAGGAGAAGAATTAGGGATAGCGATGGGGCACGATTCTCGACAGTCTCCAACGAGCATCTTCTGTCATCGTGTTCCTTTCCCTCCTCCAAGGCACGTGTCCGCGAAAACTCATTTTCCGGCAGACAAAATGGTCCACTTTGATACTCGTCACGAATCTGAAATCCGTGGAAGCAAAGAGTCCATTTAAAGATCACAGAGATTTCACAATGAGAGAAGATAGTAAAAGAAAGGGATGAAAAGGAGAGTAAAAGAAGAAGAAAAAAAAGAAAAGAAAGGATAGCACAGCTAAAGGACCAATCTGACGTTGACGAACGGAAAGAAAAGGATTTCAGGCCTCGACAACGTCGAGGAAGATTTAAATTTCCACTTCCAACCCCCAATACACCCCTCTCTTTTCTCTCTTCTCTATCGGACGTCTCTGTATGCCGCGTCGCGTCGGCACGCTTTTCCCTGTTACCCCAGGAAATAATTTTCCTTCATCGATTCGCCCGTCCGCGCATTGCGACTGTAACAGGCCGGAAGAATGCTTCCTTTGTTTCGATGAATGTTGCAACAAGTACCATGGGAAGTTGCCCTGTCGTTTGTTTGAGAGCGGTACGTTTGAAACAGTGACAAAAAGGGGAACAAAAGTGGTGAAAGTACATTGAAATGGGTTGGAATAACATTTTGAAAATTGTTTACTGCAATATGTGCGTAAGTAGAAATTCTGGAAGCGTGAAGTGAAACCGCGGAAGAGAATAAATGAGACGAAAATTGGAATTACTGGTAATCCTTTGTAACCCGATTTTTCTTCGTTCGTGAGAAGAAAAATTACGGTTCCTTACAGTTTGACATTTTGACAGAAGAAGCAAGTATCAATAATTACTATTATACAGGGTGGACCAATAAGAATTACCACTTCGAATATCTCCGGAATAATGAATGAAAGTTCGAATGAGAGTTGTTTGCTATGAAAAGGACGCTTTTAAACGCTTTTTTAAATGGTTGGAGTTGCTGAAGAAATATATTTTCTAAGGAAGATTCTTTCATCGATCTTCTCAAAATCCTTTTCGAAAATTCTAATTTATCTTTGTATTAAATTAATAAATAAATAAATATAAATTTCTGTTTCGCAATAGCATTCACGTTTTCACACATAAAATATGAAAATACTGGAAAAGCCTGATTTGGAACCTTTATAACTTCACGGTTTCGTGGGGTAGCCAGTCGCCCGCCATTGTCCGCCGATTTCCCTATAATAAATTCGTTCCGTTTCGAACGCCCCCTACTTTTTTTTTTTACCTTCCCCTCCACCCACCTCTCTTTTTGTCTTCCTGCTCTCTCGCGGTATCTGACGTAAAGTATCCTCCTCTTACTCTTCTCCTTTTTTTTTTCTTTTTTTCTTTATTTCGTCGAGGAGTCCCGAGTATTTTTCTTGCCGCTTTTATTTTGTAGGATCTCTTCCCTCTATACATTTTTCAACCCTGCCGTGCATAGTCCTGTTGATTTGCGGTAAACCACAATATGGCCTGCTCCAGGGAAATATATTACTCACTTAGCCCTCTATAAAATTTTTCCCCCTTTTTTCTTTTTTTTTTT